TAACACTGGGGCACAGAGTAATGAAGCATGAAGCAATTAAGTATGGTTTTAAGATTTCATGTAGGTGGAAGGCATTTTTCCGATCAGCTCAGAAATCGCGAATTGCTCAATATATGAGAGCTTGTTGCGAGTATTGATAATTGACCATCTTAGCACAAGCCTCCAGGGTTATGACTCGGCACGAAACTTTCACAACCTGATTGTTTGTTGTATGGGAGTAATGGAGGTTGTGATTTGTTAATATGATGGGTTGTGCTACATCGTGTCTGTTAAAAATGAGAAACGGTCTGATCAGTTGCCCGGTTGCCGAATGGGTAGTATGCTTACGTTCTACCTGTGAGGTTCCGGGTTTGATCCCCAGTTGGGTCGATGGGTTCGGTTTGCTGATGAGACCCAACCAGGTCAAAACAGCTGCACAATGCTTCCCAGCTTTTCAGCTCACGCCTCATCTACACGACGAATTCATCATATAAATAAATCAAATCCTCCATTACTCTCATACAATGAATAATTAGGTTATGAAAGTTTCCACAAGAAGGGCTTTCAGTAAATTCAACCAGATGAGCTCTTCACTGCTTTAATTCGTTTACAATTTTGTACAGTCAAAGTGGTTCAGTGAAAACACCACAGTTAGATGGTCGGAAAACACGAACGCATAGTTTGAACATCCTCCAAACAACTTGGGATGCTGCATTGGACACCAGTACGGTGCAGCATATGATTGCCACCCATTGGTTGTTCAACAAATGTTACATTAAACTTTGTAAAAAAAACATTGGAAACACTCGTTAATCTCAGAACATTCCGATACATGTGGATTTTGTTCGATCACAGCGGCACGGTTGAAGCTTGTGCTTCGAGGCTAGAGGATTGCGGGTTACAGCTAAGAATTAGTGAGGAGAGCGTAGATAATATTAATTATTTGGGAACTTTCAAAACAAAGGTAAACGGTCTTCTTGATTGCACACAAATCTACGCATACAGTAGTACAGTGCGCGTTTACATCCTAAGACTGAAACATACAGAACTTCACTGATCATTTTGAGCACACATATCGGTCTAATTGACAAAAAAATACGCACTACTACTAGAACCAAGTATCTTTTTGAGAAACAAATTGTGTCAGTCAGCAAATTTTGATGAGAAACGACAAACGAATAACAAGTGAAGTACAATACGACTTGAAGAAAGGCTCTACAATTTAGGACAATACTGAGTCGATATGTGGTGCTACGTGAAGAAACAACTGTTGAGATGTGAAAAATTCGCCATTCATCTACACTTACCGACCATACGCGCGGGTGAATTGATCAACGACGGTGGGGACAAAGGTGATGACGAAGAGGATGAAGAAGACGACGAGGCGGTGGACAGACTTCGTGCAAGACCTTTCTTACGACTATCGCCCACTCCGATTCCGGTCCCGTTCCCGATACGTGATCCCGGACCACCACCGCTGGCAGCAACACCGGCCCCAGAGCAGGCATTTAACCCATCCAAACGTGAAAGTAGATTACTCGAACCTGCAGCATTAGATAAGTAATCCGGTGAGCGGGTGGAACCGACATTCGATGAATGATCTGTTAATCCGAGACTACAAACAAGAAGGGCACAGAGAAAGAGAGGAGCGACAGATTAGATGATCGAACGAGGGCCCCCACCAAACACTAAATAATGACTGGTAAACACACAACCAATGTGATTGCCAAGGGCTTCGTTTGACCATTTCACTTCATCTCGATAGTTGTATATGTGGAAATGGGAAACATGGAAAAGATAGTGCTAATTTTCTCGTTGTCGAAACATTGCTCAATCTTCCCGAGGACCTCTTCTATTAGCTTGCTTACACAAGCACACATGCAATCAAAATCAGTTCGAAAAAGGGAAAACAATGAAGTGACCATAAAACCACATATAGATGTCAGAGTAGTCGAGGAAAGGGGTGGAAACGAGATTGCGAATGTCAATCGGAGGCTGACCGAGGAAACGATCAATCCCCAATTCACTTTTCCAGAAAAAAAGAAAGTGGATACGAATTTCCGGAGTTGCGAAGTTATAATTGGACAGCTAATTGCTAGTTCCAATGGCCGGAAAAAAGAAAAGAGAGACGGGTCGATCGATTGATCAGCCGAGCTAGTGCAGACGACGAGAAATCAGTGCCGGGGAAGCTGCACGCAATTGGGGAAAGAGTAATGAAAACCTTACTAAGAAATCAAATGAGAAGTAAAATCGAACCGGATTCTAACTGTTATCGAAAAGAAGTAGTTCGGAAAAGGAAGGGCCTAGTAGACTTGAAGGTTTAATCGTAATACTACATTTACCATTGTCTGGACTTCACACAGAAATACGGGTGAGATTTCATGATTCCCCTGATGGTCAAACCTTGCCAATTGATGTCCGTTTAGTGAGTGAAACCAGATGGGGAAGACCAGAACATAAATAGAAAAAGCCACGACGATCAGACCACAGGTTTTCACGGCGAGTTACTAGCGGATTACTGAGTAGGATGGACAAGTACGCATTGCTCAATGCTCAAGTGGGATCCCTGGACGAATCAGAGAGGCAACTTGGAGGTTCACATGAAATCCCAGCCAACAGGACTGACAACGGACTGTTTTTGTCAAGCACGAACTTCTCGCACAAAAGACGCCACCGTCTTACATGGAGACCGCCAACCGCTTCACAGCGCTGAACTCAAATCGACCACATTGCCTTCAGCCACCGCTGGCGAGGATCCATTGAAGACTGCCGCTCCTACTGGTCAACAACCGTGAACACGGACCATGCTCTATATGTATTCCCCATCTTCTGCTTGAATTTGCTTCGACATTCCAATCTTCATTTCGCTTTTTTATCCAAATGGGCAACCAAAACCGGCGAACGAAAGTACATGGTTAATGGTTGTAAAAACTGAACTGAACTCTCTAAGCCTAGTAAACAAACGCAGAAAAGCCACCGAACACGGATGTCCAAGATACAACGCCAGCAATGATTGCAGATCGGCCTTCGAAGCGGAGCTATCAGATCGTCTCTCAACTCAACCATCAACCGGAGGACTCAGTGAGCGCTGGACGGTAATCAAGGAAGCGACCCAAATGTCAATCGAAACAATAGCAAATTCTGACTCACGATCAAATAAAAAACGATGGATCTCCCCATCTTCGGTTACCCTGCTGGACGCTCGTAAAGTCATTCTCTCGGATTCAAACTACGACAAAGCGCGCAAATCCCTTAAACGCCAGTTCATAAAGAGTCTGAAGACTGATCGCGAAAAGTAGTGGGTAGGAAAATGTAGAGAGATGGAGAAAGTTTCGGTTATCGGTAACAGTCGCAATCTTTTCCGATTAATTAGGAGCACAGGACAAAGGAAAGAAGGCGTAATTAAGGAATCCGACGACACACTGATCCATATTCAGCAACGACATCTAGATCGATGGGCATAACATTCTAAGGCTCAGTTCAGTTGGCCCTCGTCAGCACAAGACCTCCCTACACCCGATTCAACTATGCAAATACTGCCAGTTGACATCAGTCCTCCATCTGAAATAGAGGTTACCTGATAAATAAGTTTTCTCAAACGGCATAAGGATTCCGGCCCCGACGGGCTGTCCCCATCCGTTTTTAAAAATGGAGGTCTAATCTTGGTTTTGGAGTTAACAAAACTCCTGGGTTTAGTGTGGGAAAAGGAACAGGTTCCAACTGAATGGTATGAATCGGTGATCATATCGATTTACACGAAGGGCGATAGGTCCTCTTGTTAAAACTACAGAGGAATTAGTTTAATTAACATTGCCTCTAGACTCCTCGCCGGCATCATACTCCGTCGATTATCTGCCGTTCGTGAAGAGTGCACACGTGAGAACCAGGCTGGTTTTAGACCTTGTCGACCTGAAAGCGGATTTCGACTCAGTGACCGCTCTAAACTCTGGCATTGCCTTTCTCTGAGGTGTGCCCGAGAAGTTTATTTCAATATTACAACCCCTCTACAATAATAACCGAAGCCGAGTCTAAGTTTGCGGCACGTTTTCACCCGAGTTCACTGCAGACAGTGGTGTTCGACAGGGTTGCCCTCTCTCTCCATTTATATTTATAGATTGTTATAGATTTATTTCTTGAAACAGTCCTATCCTCGTGCAGTGATAGCGGCATCAGTTTACTTTCGGATGACAGACTGTCTGATCTAGAGTATGCAGACGACATTGTATTCCCAAGTGAAGATTCAGGTAAGTTGCAAGCTTTTCTGGATAGTTTGAGTGCTAGTGTAGCGATGTTCAGTATGCGCTTTGCACCTTAAAAGTGTAAAATGCTGCTCCAAGATCGGGTTGTCACAGTCCCCAGCTTCATCCGGACCAGGTAAGTTGTAGAGGAAGCAGACGAATTTTGTAATCTGGGCAGCTATATCTCACCTGGCGGACGCATCGCAGATGAGGTGTCGGCGCGCATACAGAAAGTTCCGTTGGCATTTGCAAACTTGATATTTGTGGCGCCATCGCGAAATCCGGCTGTCTGTGAAGGGTCGAGTGTGTGCTGCAGCAGTTTGGTCAGTCCTGTTTTACGGTGCAGAGACTTGGCCATTACGGGAATAGGATAAAAATTGACTGTCGGTGTTTGAACACCGGTGGGTAAACTGGACGAGCAATGCTGAGGTTAGGCATAGAGTTTTAGGTAATCGCAGTTGTCCACTGGAACAGGTAGTCGACCTACATAGATTACACTGGTTGAGACATGTGCTACGCATGTAACCAGATAGGTTGCCACGGCGAGCGATGCTTGCCGAGATCATGGTCACCGATGGTTAAAGACACTGAGCGATATGATGCAAACAGTGGCGCTCATGCATCTACTCAGTATTCTTGTAACTTCAGTCTAAGAAAATGTGCTATCTTCCGCTTGAACCTGTTCTCAACATTCTGTTGCTTTATCCAAAAGACAGCAACCAAAACCGGCGCATGAAAGCGCATGGTTAATGGTTGTAGGAACAGAACGGAACGTGGCAGACAGACAGATTGAAGCAACTATTCACTGTATTCCGAATTTTCATTTACCGTTTTATTCGTTCTGCGCATGACCATTTCATCAGAAAAAGACGGGCTTCTTTTCTCGCTTGTGTGAAAGATGTTTTTATTCCATGCTTAGCAAATTAAACCAAGAGAGTAAAACTACAAAAGATTGGAAATTAAACATCCTAACAAACCTAACCAACAATTATGTGATACCTGAGAATCCCATATCCGGTCCCAAAACAGAAATAGCTCCAAATAATGAATGATTTTAATCTTCTCTTACCCAAAACATCTTTCATGGTTGAGTACTGTTGTATATATATATATATATATAATGTATTAGAATTACATTTCCACGCACGTCTTAATGCAAAATGTGTGCCAAAGCATGGTACGATCTTTATGAAAAAGAAAGATGTTCCATGATTTGCAAGTGGGCGGAATGCTCTTAGGTTGCCCAGGCCAAGGTAGGGGAATTTTCGTGAGGAATCCACAACCGGAGCTTTCGGCTAGCTAAAGCCTGACCTGCAAGGCAGCTGGGCGGTGTGCAAAACCCGCAATCCATTGTAGGTTGGTGTCCAGTTCATCGGATCATACGACCTTTAGGGGGGGGGGGGGGGTGAAATGTCCAAGGTGACCAATACACCTTGATACCCAATTGAGCTGGTGACCACTGCACAACCGGGAAAGTGTATGTGGTTCGTACACCTCCTCATGGTTGGTTTGGAATCAGGGTTTTTTGCCGAAACCCGTAGGTGAACTTCCAATGCTCCACTAACCCGGTTATAGCCCCGGATGTCGGCCCTTCATCTTCTCACTTTGGTGGTGGGGTATTAGAATGATTAAGAATCGCTGAAAACCAGCCTTTTCGTCCCCATGTGGTCCATTTAAAATGTGTTGTGTTCGACTATTTGGGCAATCTTTGAAATATCAAAGCCGTCAACTTTGACCGGACCCTATCACTGTAGGGATCATATAGCTTATTGAACTAACTATTTATCCCATACATGAGCAAACACTTATGAATTGCCTTTGATTGAACATACAGTAAGTAGCACCAACATTTTTGTGTAAGGAAGAGGAGGCTATGCTTCAATCAAAGGCTGCCTGGGAAAACGCAGAAAAGTAGCGGTGATGTGAACACACGACTCAGTCGATGTTATGCAGACCTCAACCACTCGGTTTAATAGCGCACTTTCAGCTCCAAGATAACTTAACCAAAACAACTCAGCCAGCATCGGTGTTCGCGCAGTTGAAGCTCGATCACAGAACCATAAAATTTTTAAACCAGTCTCATCGAAGTATATGTGTTTATTCGAGTGGTTATCTACGGTTAGACAAAGCAATCACAGGAACGTATCCAGCCGCCACTTTTACCAGCTCTGCACAAGCCTCAAGAATACACTGTTCATTCTCTCCTCATCCACTATTACATGTTCCTTCACTTGCAAATGTTCAGCAAGCTATGTAGGACGAACAATGACACTTCACAGAGGATCCGAAGGCCCGAATTCAAGGCACTCGCAGATGCAACTTCAAATACCACAGGTACTTTCAACGTTGTAAGACTGAGACCATAACCGACCCATGTGTGACAAAACTGACACAAATATGTATCACGGTACTATCGAATAGGTCACTGTTATATTTTGCGAACGATTGTTTGATGATTGCTTTTCATTTAACGTTTGTATTCGTTATAGAACACGACTATTGAAGACTTGTTACAAGTTTTACGCTTCGAACGGCTAACAATATCAGCAAAAGAAACAGCTAATCGGCTATCTATTCCTTGATCACTCCTTGCTGAGTTTATGAGGGTAAAGTATTTTATTGTACGCTACTAACTTGCGACACGTGATTAACACATTTTTGGTCATTCATGAAATTTGCTACAATATCGAATTTTATTCGAGCTGATGCAACGCTTCTAATAAACGTCGCACTCACGCGGAAATCAGTTGGAGTATTTAGTTCTTGATAGTTGACAAAGCCACAAAATGGTTTATCACTGAAGGTAATCTGGATTGAGATACACTCTTTCGAATACCGGGTGATATCAGAATTTACAATTGACGTCATCCTAGAGTTGTGGACGCGAACAACGGTGCTGATGAAATTCAAGCACATGAATGCGATACCAATTGACTATAACGAGAATATTGCACGCGCTTTTTAACTATCGCATCATTGGTTTAAACCAACAGTAGAATTCGCCAACTGAATGTATGGAGATTCTCGAGGTTCGTTCTATTCGTATCAATAAAGAACAATAATAAGATGGTACTGGAAATATAAGCAGCTTAGGTTTTCATTCGAATACACCTCGAATCGCAGCGGGTACCAAGGTATATGTTCGAAACATCGAAATGAACAAGTCAGTCGATAGCCAAAAGTGCAAACGACGGAGCTCAGCACTGTGCCAAATGAACAGGCTAAATGTATTGTAGTGTTACAGTGCTCACGTGCACGTGAATTAGTGTACCTCAGGAGTAGATCGAAAGACCGACCACAATAAGCTCAAGCAATCTGGTACATCATATAACAATCAAAGGGCGGGGTGAATCACATCTTATTCGAGTCAGATATGGTGGTCCCGTACTTGAAAGTAGGAATCCTCATCGATGCGGTCATTAGATTAGGGCGCCGGAAGTTCGACAGTGACGTTTGCAACGAGGACTGTTTTTCTGTAGGTGCTATCCCGACCCACGCATGAACACCACAGACAGCTGACTCCAGTTAATCGTCCAGCAACTCGGACCGAGTGAAACATTTTAGAGACTTCTGAAGTCGCAGACCAACGTGAAGAAGTCTCTTTCCCATGGGAAGAACAGCGGGTCGTCGGAATGGTTGATGACTTCTTTACCCTCGTAGAACAACACCTCTAATTGCATTGGCGAGAATGGTGCGATTTACCGGTTAATCAAACCCAGAAAAGGCTGTACCACCTCCTAGGCTGTGAACGATAAGAACACAGACTTCTCAACCGAGACGTGGAAATCGCACATACACACCGAAACAAATAAAATAGTTGACAGGTATCAATTCATTCTGTATCATCCCGTTGTGAGCCCCATAAGATCTCTTCTCTTCCCACGATCTGTCAAATCACTCAGCGTTGACTTGAGGCAATCTTTAGACATACGGGAGCATTAAGTTGGGATATCATTCGACAAGAGTACAAGCGAGACAGGAGCGAAAACGCATGAGTTAGAATGCTCTATCGGTTAAGTGTGCACGATGATTAGGCGCACCACTAGGGAGTACGGGTTGACATCGGCGATTGCAGTGACGAGTGGAACAGTAGCTAAGGTTGAGCTGGATTTGGAGGGGTATTGTGGAATCTGTTCGTCTCGCTACATACGCTCGTATGCACACATGTGCGGTCACCTATCGATCACTGGTTATTGTCTGAACCGATGCATATGATCGATCACCCCACATCCAGTGCCTTGATATGACTTTTCTTTGTTCGTCTACCTAACTAGTATACCCGAACTCCCTTTAGTGACCATCATACCCGAATAGGATGGGATGTGATCCACGGCGCCCTTTTATCGTTATATGATGTACAGACTGTTTGAGCTTATTGTGGTTGGTCCTTTAACCTACTCTTTGGGTACACTAACGCACGTGCACATGTGTACTATAAAGCTACTTTACATTTGGCCTGTCCATTTGATGGAGAGCTCCGTCGTTTGCACATTTGGTTCTCGACTGAAATTGCTCGTTTCTCTTGGGAAACACCACGATTTTAAGCGTACTGTAGATGAAAATTGAAAACTTTTATACTTCCAGTACTGAATCCTTAGTATGAGTCGTTGATTGGAATCGATCAAACACCGAGAACATTCGGACTTAGCTTCTGAGGTTGTGCGTAACACAAAATCGGCCAAGATAGGTGTACGAATTCAGCCCATGGAATACTGTTAAATGGTGGGAAAATTTATCCCGGTCCACACAAGGGGTTGCTATTGTGAAGCTATGGAAACGAGCGATTGGAGTCTTTTTGAAACAAGCCGCAAGTTTGAGAACATCCGTGCAGCAGTTCTGAGATGACAAAACGGGTAGATCTTTTTTAAACCAGAATCACATTGTCATTTACTACACCTAATTAAAGTATGATAGTGAACAGATTGAGCAAAATGACCATGGGTGGGGTATTACGCGTATCGTTCAGCAATTACCCCATCTGCTTAAGTTCGCCCATCTTACGACCCTTTAATCTGTACTCCTCCGTTTGCACAAGTGACGTTGTTCTCCGGTATTTACCCCAAACTTTATCCTACTTTCTAATTTCCATCAAACTTTATTCGCATTGTTTTAGGATCCTCAGGAATGTTGAGGTGGTGTATTTTATTCTTTGTAAACATATTACTGTTTGTGATCGTTCCACTAAGAATCTGATGCTGAAGGAAAACCACCGATCTTGGCAACTTCTTACCGCATCGGCGTACTCGTTCTCAATTCGGACTTTACTATGCATGCACAAACACTGACAGGAAGAGCAGCCCTTGCTTATATACCGAGGTTTTATAAATAAAACGGTTATCTATGAGTGCAGATCTTAAGGATCATCTTGATTGTTTAAACTGTGAGTTTACTCTGAATCGCCCGAGAACCTCTTCTCCACCTCAAAGCATATTCTGACTCAACTTGATTACAAGTTTCTCTTATAAGTAATTCTTGTGTACGCTATCAAAGGCCGCATATAGAACCTGAACACTATTTGGTCAAAGTAGCAGTAACCGGAATCAACATGGACAGAGATATTCAGTTAAGGTTTGAGGCTCACATTTAGTAAAATATTTTCAATTGAAGTCAGATGAATATCTTTCATAAATTTAAAGGTAGACGACACAGTTAACAGGCGACCACTCTGAAAGGAAACAAGAACACTATACAGAAGAGATAAACAGAAAAACGGCTTCGTACACATTAAAATAATTCCAAACAAGAGTGTCATTTTCCGGTTTGTAAAATTAACGGTTGAGTTAACGACACTATAGAGCACCTCATGACAGTGATTGGGGCGAACGGGATCCTGTAATGAGTTTAAGTGGAAGAAGTATAGAGGAGTGTCGATGAATCGCAAAATATTGTTGGTTTGTTTTGGTGAAACGCTTTTATATTAGTCTGTTTCGTACGAACGTCAACCAAAAGAGAGTTTAGTGAGAAAGGACTCTGCAATGAACCGAATGCTTCGAGGACCTTGAGAAGTAAACATTTCATTTTCCTTAAAACTGTCTATTCTCCAGCCATTTTAACTTTTTTAAACTTAAGTCATTCTTCACGTCGTTTGGACCGATCCATTCACTCAAATTCTTGGGCATCTGGATGGTTATTTGCGTACATTCCCTCGCTTTTTGCACCCATTTGCTCAAGGATCGACTGGTATATAAACAGGCCATCTGAAGGCGTATATTCGACTTGCTTCCTCTGTCAAATACACGTTCGTGTGTACCTAGTACTCAGGTTAAGATGTGAAACCACTTAATCCTAGAAGCCACCGTTGAGATGACTGTTGTGCGATGCCCGCAACAAGCTCACTATATAGTGTATAAGTAAAACTGAAAAACCGCCTGATCAGCTGTTCGGTGATTAAGCGGGTAGCATGATTGCATTCTACTTGTGAAGTTCCGGCTGTGATCCTCAGTCGGGTCAATGAATTCGCGCTGCTGATGCGACCTAATCAGATCGAAACAGCTGCGCGGGTTTTAAATTTTCAGTTCACGCATTATCTTTACACAACTAAGCTTACCATAAAATACACGTTCTCTGATTTGCCTCCAGTGTTCCCACTTCTCGTAGCTGGGAGAAGGTATTGGTGCTAGTGACATGCTGTGCTATGATCGCAATTTGGCGCTAAACGAAGATGGAAGTACTCGCTCTGTCGGGTTCGAATCTTTTATTCTTTCTTTCTAATTTTACTTCCTTTTAATTGAACACACAATGATACAAATTTCAGGAAGGGGGAAGCGGCCAATCAAAGGGCTGCCATGGGGGAAGTCAGGCGGTGGTGGTGGGGTTCGAACACACGTCACCCGAAATGATAATTTGCTGACATTACCACCGGGCCACTACCTACTACTATCTATCTGGAAGTGTTCTCTCACCGCGTGATATAACGCGAGCTATTCGTTGGCGTCAATTTGCCCTTGGCCCGTCACTGTGGTGTGTAGCTGTTTTTTGTGCTACCTTGTGTGTCCTCCATCGTGTTTGTGTTTATCTACTGTGCATTGTGGGTGGTAATATGCTACGAATTAGACCTGTACAGCGCTCGTTACCGCGGTAAATGATAAACGGCAATGAAGAAATCCTCGTTCAACAACTTTGCGAAAAATACACTAGTTCTACAATGAAATGAAAAACTATATAATTCCTACATGAAGAGAAAGAAAATTCGTTTATAAATAGAATAAAGAAGTTTAAATGATTTTCACGAAGCTCGGATCTTAGTTTAATCGAGAACTTTCAGTGTTTAGTGATGCGGAAGCCAAACTAAAACATTAGTAGTTACGGGCTGTTGGCGACGGTGGTCAAGTGACTAAGATGACTATCAGGGGCGTACTTTAGGGACGGAGATCATCCGAATTTGGTGATAAGACCCACGATACCATTCAGACAGAAACGTATGCTTCATTATGAGATCCTAGTGCTTTTTTTGCAGTTACGGGAATAGGATTACCGGTCCCTTGACTTAAAACATAACTGAAAATGACATAAAGAAAGAGAACATACAAAAGTGAAATCTGTTTTTCACGCCGCTATAATTCCAGAAGGCGTTGCTGGTCGATGATAACTGTCTATTGAGGATCACAGATGCAACATCAGTAATTTGGCACACATCACATAGAAAGTCTCATCAGAAACATACCAT